TTTATTATGCTGGACTATCCATTTGGAAAGAATGAATCTTAGCCTTCTGTACTGTGCAAACCTAAATGCAAAAGTTCCAGAAGCAATGGAGGAGCAGCCTGTGCAGCTTTGGGATAGGCTGTGATTCCTTAGCTTAGACACCCAAGGATCGTAATGAAAAAGTTTTAAAAATTCGGCCAAGTGTGTTGTTACACACCTGTAGTCCTAGCTACTCAAGAGGCTGAGGCAGGAGGTCACAAGTTTGAGGCCAACCTTGGCAATCAGCAAGACCTTGTCCCAAAATAGACAGGGCTGAGGATATATGACAGTGTAGAGCGCTTGCCCAGCATGTGTCAGGCCCTGGGTTCAATGCCCGGTATCACAATAAACAAAGAACAAGTGTTGAGAATGTTGAGTAACAAGAAGTCTCACCTGTAACTCGTGGGTTTGTAGCTCTGTGTACACAATGTGTCAGGCAGCCCCACTGCAGGAAATGAAGGCCCAGAGAATTCTAGACCTACAGTTGCCAGAAGCAGGAAGTAAGTCCTGACCTATGAGTAGTGAGGAGTGCATGGCTGGTCACAGAACCACGAGGAGCGGGTGAGTCTCACACATACTGACCCAGGGAGGATGACACAAGGAGAGCCAGCTGTTACCGTGACATTGTGGAGAAGGTAGTGGAGAGGTGGTGGTTACACAGTGTACACATCTGCCAAAACCCAGCTGTAAATTTATATGGGCATTTTATTGTATGGGAATTAAGCTCCAATTAAGAAAAATACAGCTGGGCGTGGTGGCACACACCTGTAATCCCAGCACTTGGGAGGCTGAGGCAGGAGGATCGCTGTGAGTTTGAGACCAGCCTGGGCTACATAGTAAGTTCCAGGTCAATCTCAACTACATAGTGAGACCCTGTCTCAAAAAAAAAAAAAAGAAAAAAGAAAAATACAATGCTGGACCTCTCCTCAAGTAGTCTGCATCAGGCTCTGGGGGAAGGATCTGGGTGGTGGAATTTTAAATTCCCCAAGTGTACCTTGCAAGTGCAAAGATCTGAGTTCAATCCCCGGTACCAAAAAAAAAATCCCCAAGTGTATACCAGGAGGATTATAGGAAGTGTGGACTTCTGTGGCTGCCTGACTGCTATGGCCAGGCTCTTGTGCTTCCTTGGCCATTCTTTTGGTCACATCACATGCTCTTCATGCTCTGTGTAAGCCTTTCCCATGGATAGATGCCTACCAAGTATGTAGCTGCCAGTCAGCCTTGGGTAGGTGTTGCTAGGTTGCTGTTCAAAACTAGGCTTGAGTAGTTGTCACTTCTGAGAGTCAGGTATGAGGGCCTTTTACCTCTGCGCCTTTGGTTTGTGTGGTCTATACTGGTGATGTTTCTTGCCCACCACAGGCCTCAGCTTCCCTCTTTCCCTGCCCTTATTGGCTTCAGCCTGTTCTCTCCTCTTCTTCTTTATAGAGTCGCAAGGCACACAACATTGACCTGAAGGGGACTGTCGTGATCTTTGATGAAGCTCACAATGTGGTGAGTCTATTGCCTCTGTGCTAAATGTCTGCTGTTTCTCCTGGATTTCTAAATCTTTTTAGAGGAAATCTAGACCCTAGGGGGACAGCTGTTAGGATTCAGCAGACCCAGGCACTCCTACTGCCTTGATTCCTGCAGTCAGATGTCTGCCAGAGCTGGAGGCTGACTAATTGGGCCTTGGATGTCCCTTGAGACACAGGATCCATACATAGGCTCCTATCAGATCCCTGTCTTGGCTGGCTAGTGGTGACAGCCTTGCCTGACACTCTGCTCTGTCATCCTTCCTGCAGTATCTGATCTTTGGGCTTTCTGGCCTGATACTTGGAAGGCTGCTGTGTAGAGAGCTGCTCACCACTGGTGGCTGTAACAGCAGATGTGGCCCCTGTAGACCCTCTTGGTTCCACTTGTCCTTTGTTTCCAGCACACTTCTACATAGAACTTCTCTCTGCCTCTGAGCTACTGTTTAGGGCTGTGTGTGTGTTTCCAGGAATGGCCTTGTAGGAAGGCCACATAGCAAGGCCTGGCTGTTCTGAAGTCTGAGATGAAGTTTTATGAGAGCTGGGGCTCCCTGGGGCAGGTCCTGGTGCCCTGGGACAGCAGTGACCACCGGCAGCCTCTACTTGGAGTGGGCAGTGTGCCAGATTTTCTGGCTTTTGAAATATAGATTTTAATGGGAAATTTTCCAGTTGTAAACTGTTGGCAATACAGGGGAAATAATGGTTAAAGACATTGATATGGGCCAAAGTTGTTTGGACAGCCTGTGAGCTAGCCTTAATGCCAGGGGCCTGGGCTCTTGGAATTTCCTGTCAGTTTCCAGTACTGTCTGGATGCCCACTTTTTCCTGGATACCTGATCCTGCCCTGCTCTGCTCTGTTATGACAAGCGTGTGCTTGGGCTCTCAGGAGAAGATGTGTGAGGAGTTGGCCTCCTTTGACTTGACACCCCATGATGTGGCTTCAGGACTGGATGCTATTGACCAAGTGTTGGAGGAACAGACCAGGGTGGCACAGCAGAGTGAGCTCCAGCTGGAGCTCAGCACAGATCCCACCAGCTCAGGTGAGTTTATAGCCAAGAACCAAAGGATGAGCTGAGAGGTGGAATCTTGACTTCCCAGAGGCCAGAGCTTCTAGAGATTGTAGCCCTGCACATTGGCTGTGTCTGGTCTTCTAGCACATTCTGTCTAAGTAGTGTTTTAGGGCATTAGCTTGCTGAGAATCATCTTGACCAAGGAAGGCTGCATTGTCCCACAATTCCAGCAGTTTCTATATGTCCTTTCTCGTCTGGAATCGAGTTGCCCTTGACTGTGTAAAACTGAAACACCAAGCATTTTTACTAGGGAAGAGTTTTTAGTGACCTCTGAATATACCGTCACATATAACTTGCCTTTTCCAGCTTCCTTTTCAGTTGTCGAGAGGTTGTTTTTCCACAGTAGTGATCCTAGAACGTGCATGGCCACAATAGTGATCATCCATGCATGTGGTCATTTGTCCATATTTGCACATGGCCTCTATCAGCAGGGAACTAGGAGCCCATGTTTTCCCAGAGCACTTTTTTTGGTTGGTTGTTTTGTTTTGTTTTTTTGAGACAGGGTCTCACTATGTAGTTGAGACTGACCTGGAACTCACTGTGTAGCTCAGGCTGGTCTCGAACTCACAGCAATCCTCCTGTCTCAGCCTCCCTAGTTCTGGGATTACAGGTGTGCACCACCATGCCTGGCTTCCCAGAGCACTTTAACAGTCAGGACACTCAAGTCTGTAGACAGTGCTGCATGAATGTCTTTGGGTGTACTGCTACATTGCTTACTGAATGTGGAGTGGGTGTCTCAGTCACTTTCTCGTTGCTGAAACACAATACCCCACACCCACAACTTAAAGGAGGACAGATTTTGGCTCCCAGTTTGTAGAGGTTTCAGTCCATAGTCAGCTGGTTCCAGGGCAGAGTGGCCTGGTAGTGCAGCATCAAAGTGGAGAAACTGCTCTATGGTATGTGTGCAGGAAGCAGAGAGAAATCAAGGGAGGAGGAGGGAGATAGACCCTGCCAGGCCACACCCCAGACACCACCTCTTCTGACCAGGTTTCACCCCCACATGTCACACTGAGCTATAGACTCATCAGTGGACTCATCCACACCGATGAAGATCACGCCCCATGATCCAGCACCTCCCCAAAGCCCACCTATGAGCACACGAGGCTTTGGGGGGCATCTAGCTAGAAACCGTGGCCATGAGTGTGCACAGCCTCAGCTTCCCTCACTGTCCTCACAAGTCACATGTGGAGTCATCACGGACAGCGGAGGCCCAGGCAGCCCCATCTTTGCCCTTCTCACCAACATCTGCCTCTGCCCATTCTGCTTGGGACCCTGGACCTCTTCTGATATGTTCACATGCCTATACTGATAGAGGGTTTGTTTGGCACAGAAATTTTGGCTTCAGTGTCTCTTGACATTCTTAAAAATGATTGAACTTTGTTTTTGTTACATGTTTTGACAATTACTGTATTAGAAGTGAAGACTTAGAAATTGAAATTTTTTGGTTCATTTCCTTAACAAACTATTACACATTAGCTTAGTTTCCCAGTGCTGCTATTACAGAGTATCACAAACTGGGAGTTACAAGACAGAAGACCCAGACGAAGAGCTCAGAAGGTTTGGCTCCTCTGGGGATCGATCCTAAGGGAGAATCTGTACCTGCCTGTCTTATCTTCTGGCAGCTACCAGCAATCTTGGGCTTCTGGCTGCATCAGCTCAGTCTCCATTGCCCTGTAATGTCATCTTCCATGTGTCTGAATCCCTGTGTCCCTTTCTCATAAGGACTTCAGTCACTAGACTTAGGGATGACCTCATTGTCATTGGATCCCATCTGCAAAGATCCTCACCTTTCCCAGGTTCTAGCAGCTGCCACATCCCTCCGCTCACGGCCCACATCATTGTAACCTCTGCTTTCATCCTCACTTTCACTTCTCTCTCTCTCTCTTTTTTTTTTTTTTTTTTGTACTGGAGATCAAACTCAAGACCTTGCACTTGGAAGGCAGGTGGTGGAACCACTGAGCTAAATCCCCAGCCCATAAAATTTAAGTTCTCCAAATAGGCTTTTTTCTGGAATTTTCCATTCAGTAACTTTGGGCTGTCATTGACCTTGGATAAGCAGAACTATGAAGAGTGAATCTACAGATAAGCTGGGACTGCTGTAGTTTTGGAAAGTTCCCTATTTCTCTTTCTTCCTTCCTTCCCTCTCTCTCTCTTACTTTCCCTCCTTTCCTTTTCTTTTTCCTTCTTCTCTCTTCCTTCTTCCTCTTCCTCTTTCTCCCTTTCAGTGAGCAAACTGGGAAGTTACCATCAATATTACAGATGGTCTTCTGTTTATGATGGTCTGACTTAGGATTTTTTAGCTTTACCTAAAGCTAAAAATATAACCATGGAGCAAAGGTTATATGCAGTTATCTAGAAATTATACTTTATTTATTTCCATTAAGTTTGTTGGTACATTTAAGGTAAGCAGTACAGTTACATTCATCATTGGGATCTTGTACCTTTACATGATGTTAGAAATTATACTTTAAATTCTGAAGTTTCATCTGTTCCCAGGCTAGCAAGATGCAGTCTGGTCTACCCAATGCTGGGTAGCATGGTTATTGGGGTGTGCGTCTGGCACCATGCAGTGCACTGTGTTGCTAAGCTATGATGTCAAGAGGTGAGGTATATTGAGGACTTGAGTGTGGTACAGGGGGTTGAACCCAAGGTGTTTACACTGGCCATTTCTATTTTTTAAAATTTTAAAACAGGGTCTTGCTAAGTTGGTAATTTTTCTGGGCTGGGATCAAACAATCCTCTTGGCTTATTCTCCTAGAGTGCTGGGATTATATGTTTGTGCCACAGTGCCTGGCTTCTCTGTTTTTGGTGGTGGTAGTGGTACTGAGAACAGACATTTCAACAATTACATTTTCATCTTGTGCTGTGTTTAGGGGAATGTAACCCTATCATAGCTTGAGGAGCAGCTGTGTATGGACGTCTCTCTTTAGAGATTTTCTAGCTGAGCCCGGTGAGGTAGCACATGGCTATATAATCCCAGCACTTGGGAAATTGAATCAGGAAGGTTACCAGGAGTTTGTGTCGACCCTGTCTCACAGAGCCAGAAGAATAAAAGTTTTCCATGTGTTCTCATAGCCCCAAATGTGACAGAACACAACACCTACTCTGTAAACTGACTTGCTGCTGGCTCTTAGGATTTTCCTCAGGGACAGTGCCTCATGTCTGTCTTCCATGGCTGTGACGCTTTGAATGGCTGGTTATTTTGTCAGTGGTCCTACAGTTTGTCTGTGTCTGATGTTTCCTTGCAACTGGACTTGAGTTTTGTGTTTTTACTCAGAAGTGAGGTGCTCTCTGTGTGTGTCCCTTCAGGAGGGGCAGCACGTCTGTGCTACATGCTCAATCACTTGATTCACATGGACCTGCCAGACTTCTCCACGGTGGTCTTTTTTTCCATTTGCAATTCTGAAGTCATGTATGGCATTCCTTAGTGATTTGTCCCCAAATGAATGCATTAATATGGTATTTGCATCATCTTCTAGTCCCTTAACTTCTTAAGTTTCTTAGTTGAGCTCTTGTACAATGAGGTTTGTTTTGTTTTGTTTAATAGGGTCTTGCTATGTAGACCAGGCTGGCTTTGAACTTATAATCTTGTCTTAGCCTCTTACTATTTTGTTTTTTGAGACAGAGTCTTGCTATGTAGTTGCTGATTTTGAACTCACTATGCAGCCCAGATTGGCCTCCAACTCATGGTGATCCTCCTCAGCCTCTTAAGTGCTGCGATTGCAGGTGTGTGCCGCCATGCCTGGTTCTGACTTGTGGATTCCTGTTTAATTCATTAGCCTATAGTCTCTCTCTCTCTCTCTCTTTTTTTTTGGGGGGGTACTGGGGATTGAACTCGGGTCCTTGGGCTTGCAAGGCAGGTGATGGAAACACTGAGCTAAATCCTCGGCCCTTATAGTCTCTTAATAGCCTTAGTCATTTAGTATTCAAATTGTTCCAGGTTTGCCAAATGGGCCCTCCAGGCCATGCTGTGCCCTCTCATGTGAGTCAGCCAGTCTGAGCACAACCTGATTTTCCAGGATGACGTTTTCCTGGCTCACCTCACCATCCTGACCCAGCCCAGGACTGGCGAGTGCCTTGGGAGCCCCGTATCCTGTCGGAGGGTGGTGATAGATGCCAGAGCCGAGGCTGTGTCAGTGCTTGTTGCTCTGAGGGTGTCATGGATGCACATGCACTCATCTCCCTGTGGTACCTGCGTGGGCAGTTGTGACTCACACATGCATCTGCAGTCCTGGGCCACACCACAGGGTTAGTCCAATTTCCCCATGCCCTTATTTCTCATCACCCCTTTTTTAAATTCCTTTTTTTGACAGTAAGAAAACTCACTTCCGCTTTCTCCAACATATTTAGCTCTTCAACCCTAGGATGCCTGGACATTTGTTACAATTGTTAACCTACCTATGGTAAATGAAAAATTTGCTCACTAGAGGTAAATATTTGTTCACACTTTTGGTCTGAGAATACATAGTTGGAATACTGTGTTTATTTCCTCCCACTTCATTGTGATTATTTTATTCATTGTAGGTTTGTCAGTTTCTGTATGTCTTTCATTTTATCCCATTTTTCTCTGGGCATGTCAATTTTACTATTACTTTTTTTTCCCCATTAAATTTATCGTATTTTTTAGGTATACAGTACAGTTACATTCATCATTGGGATCTTGTACCTTTACATGATGTATCTTGGTTCTTTATTTTTTCCCCGTTCCCCTGCCCTCCCTTCACCCCCTACTATTAACTTTAAAAATTTTTTTTTTGTTACCAGGGATTGAACTCAGGACCTTGCACTTGGGAGGCGGGCAGCAGCACCACTGAGTTAAATCCCCTCTTATTTGATATTTAAAATAGCCCTCTTATTTGATATTTAAAACATTAATATTATTTCAGAACTCCAAGAAGGAATAGGCAAGAGAAGTTTTTCTTAGTTTTGTTTTTTTTTTTTTTTGAGACAGGGTCTCACTATGTAGTTGA